ATTAGGCTTCCTGAGATAAGTGGAGGAAGTGTGCATAGGATACAGGACAGCTATGAATTTCTGATATGATCAACATGTATTTGTTTGCACTTATCCAACAGCTGTAAAAAATAAAAAAAAAAGCAATGAAATATTTAAAGGATAACTATTGGGAGAGTAAAATGTAAACTCTTCTCAATGTGCGCTTCAGATGTCACAAGCCAGCTCTATAGCTCGAGCATGAGCTATCACAAACCGTTGATCGCTAAGCTCACTACTTCTCCCTGCAGAGAGCTGTGACCTCCAGTCATCACTCACCGCAGGGATTCCCCCCTTCCCTCTCTGTTCCTCCAGTGCTTATTGGGGAGACAGACAGGAGAGGGGGCAGGATCCTGACAATACTGTCGGGTGTTTCCCAGCTGCAGCACAGCTTTGCGCTGTCCACATAAAGCGGGCAGTAACCCGCTATATGCTGAGTTTAGGTCACAGGAGTACATTAGTAAATGTACTCCCATGACCCAAAAGAGTACTAAAGGCAAAGTTTATTGTTGGGGTTGACATAAACTTTAATTCAGTTATGCATTCATAGTCAATAGTTAAATATATTTTAATTGAAACCAGTGTAAATACCAGACTTTATTCTGACATCAGTCTTTTAATATCTTGTAGAGCAGCATGAAGATTAAGAAAGTGAGTACCAGCAAAAGAAGCAATTCAGCTTCAGAGCTGTCCCCCTGCTACTTCTTTGTCCAAACAGCATGCTAGAGGTGTGTTCCTGGCTGTTTTAGAGGTACAGAACCTGTCTGTATGGTGTGTGCCGGGTGCCTGGATCACAAAACTGTGAATTTAGATGTTTGCCTAGATGTTATGCTTAAGCAGAATTTTAAAAAAAATAATGAGGGAATTCATGGTAAGCTAAGACCCCCACAAATGTATCTGGCTGTCAACTGCCGATTTAGACAATGCCCCCTCCAACTTTTAATAACTGGGTAGTGTTGATATTGTCCTTTTCTGACTTCATTTGACATAACTGCAAAGTGACCCTTCATTTAACATCGAGAAAACGAGCTTTAAAGTAATTTCAAAAGCCCTTTTTTTAAAATAATGAGCAAGACCGTTCTGCATGCAGAAATAAATTATTATTTGGAACACTTTCATCATTCAATTTACAATATGTCACCTATGTTTAAAAAAAGAGGGAGCTGAGCCGTTACAGATGACATTTTCCTATATTAATAAATAAAATTATAGTATTAAAAAGGCAATTTATTTTAGCATTGTGAACTGTGAACTTGCTAGCACTTCTTGGTATAAACAAATAACAATTACTGACAGTAGCATATAACTCACTGTTTTTCAGATCAACAATAACTGTTAACCTTATAAATACTAAGGGCCTGACATCCCATTCCCAGAAGGGATTATGCTAATCTAGCTCTACATCCGTCTTTCCAGCTGTATACGTAATTTTCTTTTCACATCCCTCATGTAATAAACACTCAGCACAAAGCCACAAAAGCATTCCAGTTCTCAAAGGGTTAAACTAGAGTACCTCCAATTACATGTAGTGAATATTAATACTAGCCGCATGTTCCTGAAACAATTGTGCTGCAACAAAAAAAAAAAAAAAGAAGATATATACAGTAAATATAATTTTTTTCCTCGATCTTAAGCTAAACCAGGTATCTTGTGATTTCCCTTTAGCCTGTATTTGAATTTAACTATTTGTTTGCCAGGCGTTACATGGGCTTAAAGAAAGTGTCATACTCAAGAGATGATGCAGAATGGGTATTTAAATTAAGGAGGTCATTCTAAAGGAGTAATTTTAACCTTAGCATTAGTTCACCTCAAATCACTTTCGGAGGACTTTTTTATTTTAATTCCAGTGAGCCTGACTGGCTATTTGGAGTGAACATTGGCCGGCCTGAAAATGACTGCCTCAATAAATCAACCCCTAAGTGCCTGATTTGGTCAACGGGCATCAAAGTATCATAAACTCTTACATCCTATACCCAATCATGTTACGAGAATTTAGAAATGAGAAAACTTACATTAATTGGTAAGAGTACTTTAATAAAAAGCTTTAGGTAATTTAATTGTTCAAAAATAAAAGAGACATGTATGCTCAAATTGTCTGTGAGTGTACAGATGATAATTAGTTAACTGTGGGCGATGGAGAGTATTTATATTTGAACAAAATAATAAGAAGCAGTATTGCAGGAAATAAGGACCTAGGTCATTCTATATATTGTGTGAATTGTAAAACAACCACCCACTGTCACTACAAATAGGATAGGAAACTAGCATCAATGAAGCACAATTAGAAATGTATTGACACTGGGTGTAAGGACACTTGGCACGAGTCACAACAATTTATATGCCACAGTTTGACATCCCAAACTCACAGCTCAGAAAATGAATACTTTGAGTGAGTTATGTCATAGATGTATCATATAAGTGGGTCACTGCTTCATATCTTTAACATCTCATGTTCCTACCCACAGAAATTCACGAGGGCCAAGGAAATTAATTCCCCAATTGCTGTCAACAGAGTTAGGGAACGGCAATAAACAGCTTACTGTAAAGCCTCTAGCTACAATAAAACGGCTGTCAATAAAGCATGCCTGATATGGTAAATAAAGGAATTACTTATACAGTAACCAACAGATCTGTCTCTATTCTCTATACATAAAGAATGAGGGGAAGACAAGTGTTGCTTAAAGAAGCTCAGAGAAGTTTTTTGTTTTTTTTTTAAATCCGGCAGCAGACAGCAGGAAACATCAATATTTTAGGCTGCTATAGTACTGACAGTTTTGCACCTGAGCTATTGCATAAGTGTAAAACATATTATAAGCAGTAAAAATGTGAGCATTGGTAGTACTTTTTTTTATATTTACATGCTGCATGAATGAACATGTACTAGCAGTTAATAAGGCTTCAAACTCACATAATTGGGCTAATTTAGTAAGGCAAGGATTGACATAAGGAGTGCAGTAAACAAGGGCAACCAATTAACAATCACCTTTCATTTTTCTAATATTGCTATACTAATGAGAGGTGAAATCTGATTGGCTGCTCTGCACTGTTGCACACACCACCTCATTAATAACCTTGTATGCTAAAAATGTGCAAGTACAGTTGTAGAACAGGGTGAACTATCACCAAAGCACATGTGACACTGAGCTGTGAGCCACTCCACGTGCTATTTCCTTATACATCTACCAACTACTGCAAGCATCCACATTTCCTAAGGCCTAATGCCAGTAGTTCCATTACTTATGGGGGATATAAAATGAAGATTAGGAAGTTGGTGCAGTACACCCTATCCATTCTGGATCTACTTTACAAACTCAAGAACTGGTTGCTCCAGTGCAACTGTCATTACATAAAAGGTTTATTTGGCTGTATAGCCTGCCTGATCTATTCCTCCCCCATCTCTAAGATACTGCAGGCTTGGCACCAAGCCAGCACAAGCCACATAGAGCCTTACTGCCATCTACAGGCTATTCTGATGGTCTTTAGAGGCAACAGACAAGTCTCAATGAAATAAATTAGACAGCTCTGCATTTAAATCTTTATTAGCAGGGAATTATTGGACTGAAAGCTAATGCTGGATTTTGTAAAATATGAGTTTCCCTGATCACTAATCCCTCTTTAGATGGCAAATTTCACAGCTAAAATGAGCTTTGACAGATTGCTTTTTGCTTTACTTAGATGAAGAAATATTTACAATGGATTGAGTTTGTTCTGCATAATTTTTCCTCTAATTATTTGAATAAATCCACTTTCTCAAAGTCTACGTTTGCTTTATAAGGACAAGCATAATACAGCAAATGCTCAGTGATACAGTTCCTACACATTTCGACGGCAATTTAGGAAAACTTTTCAGTATGACACGATGGAAACCTGGGGGCAATTCAAATCTACAGCCCTGTACGTTTAGCAGACTTGCATATTAAACCGATCACTGCAATCTCTACATAGTGGGACTAAAAAGAAAAAAAAAACTATACTTGCAATGTTTCCTAGAAAGATAGAACGTATTTAATAAGGCAATGCAAAGAGCAGCAAACCAACCAGATTTCAACTTTTATTAATTTAGCTTAGTCTGAACAATAAAAGGTGGTTGCCAACTGGTTGCTATGAGTGAATACCCTTTGCACGTTGCTCTTGGCCTGATTAAATATGCCTGCACATTAAATTGATTATAGAGGGATTTATACACAGGAAAAAATGTGTAAAGAGTTTATATAGACTATTTTTTTTTTTTATACTTGTAGGACAGAGGACCATTTAATACATTGTGCGGCTAGGCAGACTAGCAAAGGCACGGGACTGAAAGTACACATAAAAGTTTTATTTAGCTACAAGCATGCGTCCATCATACCTGTAGCTTTTCTGATAAATAATTTACAGAATAAAAATTAAAAATAAACATAAAGCAAAATAACACTCAAAATGTAAAATACATTTTCCAGATGTGAATTGCACCCAGTCATGCATTGTCTACTCACAATTAGCAGTTTAATGCAAAATACATTATCTTACTTTCCAGCAAGAGTAAAAAAAAGTTAACCCCTTTTTGTGACCATATCATTCTTGTCCATGAAATAAAGAAAACTTTTAAAAGCAAGATCTTCTGAAGTCTGCACAGTGGAACATAGGTGACATTTTCAATGTGAAAATAGAAAGTCCATGTGTTTTGCTTTTCATTACTGGAGTGTAGGAGTTACACTGGGACTGTGATATTTAACATGCACATGTATGGTACAGTACAATCAAGAATGTACATAAGTATATATGCATAAACATATGTATGCATATATATTTCCGGACTTCTGAGTCCTCAAAAGTCTGTCAAGACTCAGTCAAAAAAAAAATGGAAAGGGGTTGATTTTTTTTTCCCTCTCAGCAACATGAGCAAGCCAAAGAAGACTGTATGAAGACATAGTGGCACTTTAATACTGGTTGATTGGGCACTTGTATGCAGTACTTATAGACCAGTAAAAGTGCTCGTTTACCTGTCTGGTGTGTAAAGGACCTTTTGTCTTGAAGCCACCCTGGGAACTGCACTCTGAGGCACTGAAGTGATCTGAACTAGTGGAAGAGCGTTTGGAGAGGGTGTCACAGCCCCCAACAAAGGTGTTGTCCAAAGGGAGTTCCTGAATGACATGATGCTTTTTCACTGACACTGGAGTATCTGCTTTAAGATGAAAAGCAGACTGCGGAGAGGCAGACTTGTAATGCTTAGCTAGGTCAGGGCTGTTAGGTTTGAAGGTTGTTGGAGGGGCAGTGCCCCAATCAAAGCGTCCAATCCCTTGTTCCTCCAGCTCGGCTGGAAGACTAATAGTCCCGTTGATAGGTTCATGTACAGTGTCATCAGGTTTAGATTCCTCAATGGTAACAAAATTCAGCAGAGAACTTTTAGGAGATTTTCGTTTCTTTCTTTTCTTTTTTTTATTCTGCTTGCTCTCCTGGTTTGGTGACATCCACTCTGCCCCCTGTTTGCTCCTCTGGGCAGCTTTAAACCTTGATGCGTGCCGACACCGAACAAGAACTGTCACAAAAATGACGACGATGACCACCATGGCACCTGCCACAATGGCAATCATAATAGTAAGATAATCCTCATTTTGGTAGGGTTGACTGCTGTCTCCAATGTTTCTGTCTAGCGGAGTTTCCATAGTCCTGCGAATTAAATCATGAATGTAGGAAGCATTCCCAGCTGTCTCATTGACATATAAGAACACCAGTACCAGGGTGTGCAAAGGCTTAGGGTATCCTAAGTCACTGATATTTACCACTAGGCGGTGCAGGCCGACATCTGCTGCAAATGGTTTTTCTTCTAAAGTAATATTGCCTGTTACAGGGTCTATTCGAAACAGACCTTTGCTATTCCCACTAACAATTGTGTATTTCAGTTCAGCATTCATCCCAGTGTCAACATCCACAGCAAAAACTTCTGCAATAACAGAGCCAGGAATGGCTGAAAGAGGCACCAGCTTAAATGATGTATTGGATGGAGGGTAAATAACTACAGGACTATTATCATTAGCATCCATTATATTGATTGTTACTTTTGCAGTAGAGGAGCGTGGGGTCTGCCCTCCATCAACAGCTTTGACATCAAATGTGTACGAACCTTGTTGCTCTCTGTCAAAGGATACATTGGACTTAATCAAGCCGGAATATGGATCAAGGACAAAATTTTCATTGTCATTAAGTATTGAAAGGGTTACAGCTTTGTTTTCTCCTGCATCCGAATCTGTTGCTGTGATAACACCCACTGTGCTGTACTTTGGAAGGTTCTCGGATACAAAGAACTGAAAGTGGTTATGCGTAAACTTGGGACTGTTGTCATTCTCATCCAGCACAGTTACTATCACAGCTGCTTGGCTCTGCAGTGGAGGAGTGCCATTGTCTCTGGCTGTGACAGTGAAAATGAACCGTTCCTGCTCCTCTCTGTCAAAAACTCTAGAGGCTGTCAAAACTCCTGTCTTCCGGTCCAAATCAAAAAAGGAAGCATTGGGACCAAGCTGATAAACAATGTCTGAATTCTTCCCACTGTCTTCATCTGTGGCACTGATAGTGGTTAAGTAGAGACCTCTGCGGTTGTTTTCAGACACTGATAGCTCAATTACGGGCTGAGTAAAAATTGGAGGATTGTCATTCTCATCCTCCAATTCCACTCTCACCAAGGCAGTTTGGTTGAGGCTTGGCTTTCCGGTGTCTGCAGCAACTATCTTGAAACTGAATTCTTTGGTGCCCTCATAGTCCAACAAGGAAGAAGTTTCCAGCAAATATTGGTTATCATAGACGGCTTTTAGGTGAAAAGGTACTTCTCTTTCAATAAAGCAGATGACCTTGCTGTTGACATCCGTGTCTTTATCGGACACTGTGATCAGGGCTATCTTTGTGTTTATAGGGTCTTTCTCTGATAAATACACTGTGCCATTAATAGGGCTTATAATATACCTGAGATCAATATTAGGTGGGTTGTCATTCACATCAGTCACATTAATAGTAACAGTTGCCCTTGCAGGTGTGGAGCTGCCATCTGTGGCTAGGACAGTTAACTTGTGAATTGCAGTATCTTCCCTGTCCAGCGGTCTCTGTACTGTAATTAATCCAGTAGTATTATTTAAAGCAAAAAGTCTTTTGGTAGCAGATGTCACTTGGGCACCATAGATATATTTTACCTCGGCATTGCTGCCTATGTCTGCATCTGTTGCATGCAACTGTACGACAGAGGTCCCTATGGGAGCATTCTCAGGGATATGAACTTCTATCTGACTTTCTTTGAACACTGGTTTGTTATCATTCACATCACTTACTGTGACTTGCAGGATAGCAGTGCTGGATTTCTGAGGGTTTCCGCCATCCTCCACTTTAATTTTCATTACATAAGTGTCTTTTTGCTCTCTGTCCAAGACCTGCTGCACTATGAGCTGTGGCCATTTCTCCCCCTCTGGTGTCTCAACAATGTCCAGTCCAAAGACGTTCTGTCCATTTAAAAGTCCATAGTGCTGCACTCCATTGAAACCTGTGTCAGGGTCCACTGCTGATGGAATAGGGAAGCGGCTGTTTATAAGTGTGTTTTCTGGAATAGAAATGTTGATTACAGTTGAAGGAAACATAGGTGCATTATCATTGGTATCGGTGACAATTATTTTGATCTTAATCAGCCGGAAAAAGTCATTGGGAAGGATGACTACTTCAAGTTCAAAGAAACATTCATTTTCCTCAGAGTAAGATGATCCAGCACAGAGTTTTTCTCGGTCTATTCTGGTGGAGGTGGTGAAGATCTCCCCAGTGGTGCTGGACACCTTGACCAAAGGCGAGTCACCAGCTTTAGAAACCAGTCTGTAGACCAGGCTGTTACTGGTTCCGGTTGCAGCATTGATATGTGAGATATTCAGGTCCTTTGGTATGTTTCCAATCGGTACATTTTCAGGCAGTTCCTCCCTTATAGTGTAAATAAGTTCTTGGGCAATTGCAGAATCCAGCCTTAAGCAGGCAATAAGAGCAGCCAACAGGTAAAAATCCCTCAGGTCCATGATAATGTGCTTCCTTTGTTTTCTTGGATTTTAGGATTTAAAGGTTGTCGCTGAGAAATGGTGCCGATTTGCAAGAGGAGGCGTGCATGGACTGCAAGATGCCTTACATCTCATTTCTAATTGGAGCCAGCAGCTGTCAACACAATCACACAAACAAACAGATTTGTTTCATTCAGTACAATATAAGTCTATACAGACATAAACACACAACACATTAGACTTGCGAAAAGTGACTCCCCTAAGCAAAGCATGTGTGCAAAAATAAAACAGTCTCATTTATCCACACTAACCCTGGCATTATGTGCACAGAGGATGGACTTAACTACTTTTCCTGATTATTCCACATATCCTATTCCTTCTTCTTCTCCTAATCGTCACTGTGCAATGTAAGATTCACATCATGCACCTATTCATATAACTGTTGCCAATAAAATCCTAAGTCCTTACCAGTATTCCTTGTAACTGCACTGTCAGCTGCCAAATGCAATCTGTGCTTCATTGCCTCTACTCTGGAGTCATTCCTCTTATCGGAGCCTATTCCTTGTGTCTTCGCTACTATACTGCTATGATATGGAGAACTGGAAAGAGTAGAAGAAGGCTGCCGCAGCAACCGCTGAACATACTTGCAATCCCTGATAGCTCAAAAAAATACTGTCTGGGCTTTCTGTCTCCTGGTAATGCTAACCTGGCAAGACTATACAATCCTCTTATTCATGCTAGCTACACACCTTACGACTGCTTCACTTCCAATCTGATCTCCCTGCGGCTCACCTAACAGTTTTCATGCATAATTCCTAAATATAGGATGGACATTTATAATGTCATGTGATGAAAATAATAATGTTTCTCTATACTGATAAACAAAATCTACTAAAACTACATTGTGTACAATCATGCAATCGTATCACACACATTGCAATCCGATCGTGCCTGAGGGAACATCCTCATCCATTTTTTTAAAGTTGAGATTGGTGATCGTATTGCACTGTGTGTGCCCCACAGACAATACAGACTTGTATGCGATCTAGTTTAGATTGTACAGCATGTGGTTGCCTTAACTAGTAATGAAGGTCTTCCAACTTACAGTCCAGAGGGGAGTTAAATGCAGCCAGGGATGAAGCATCGGTGGGGTATCAGGACACTTAGGATCCTTCTGATGAAAAGACGCAGTCTGGTACTAAAGGTCAGTCCCCTGGATGTGATCTTCAAGTAATACTCAGGAATACTGTCAGATCTTCATGCAGCTAAAGTGGAGTGCTTCTGGTGTAGGTTCCATCCACTGCTAAATTGCCCAGTTTCTAAGCACTAATGTGATCTGCATTAGGCTGGAGAGGAGCTGATGCCTGTGATTAGTTCCAGCAGTGATAGAGGCAGGTACAGATGCAGGCACAAGTGCGTTCTCCCACCAACATCTACAGACAGACTCTCAAGCTAGCACCAAAAGAATAAAAAGACAGGAATGAAACGCCACCATGCTCAACTTCACACTTGCCATTCGTCCCCTGCAAGAATGGATCGGATGCATCTAGGAACACATCCAGCCAGCGATTGGCAAACCTATAATCGGGACCAGTTTGGTGAATCAGAAAACCAAAAAAAGAACTAAAAGCCTCCCTTAGAATGTGTTGCTCCTGGAGGGTGATTTAGCAACTCCAAGGCGAACACTCAGTTGAATTGTAAATCATTCTCTCCGCCGGGTCCAGCAGTCATCATCATGTGCTCCAAGGTAGTAAAACATCAGCTGGGTACCACATCCAATTGGAATAATCAAGCCACTTATATTTTCCATTGAGCACAGGCTGATATTTCCATCTGTCACTGTATCGGTGTTAAAGGGGGGGGGGGGAATAAATAAATGAAAAAAATAAAAAAAATCAGGAGTGTGCAACTTGCTGTGGCAGATATCAGGATGGAAATAGTTGCTTGTCACTGATAGTTGCCAGAAATCCCCAAACGAATCGCTTTGAGATTGCAAGATGTTCCTTCTTCCCTCTTTATACTAGCCCTCTCATAGACGTGCACTGGATAGCCCTCCCTCTTTCCCTCTGAACTGGATTTCTTCATAGAACTCTCAATAAACCCACAGGGAGGGCGTGGCTGCCGCCTGGGCACGCCTACCACGACCGCTGGTTGGCCGTCTGCGAATATGTGCTCGGGGAGACAGACGGAGCTGGGGTACAGGAGGCACGCTCGGCATCCCTTTAGACGTGCCGGCGGCACGCTCCTCCCAGAAGGGTGGTGGTGGTGGGCTTTTTTTTATTTTTTACAGCCTGCCGTTTAGTTGCTCAGTTACATTGTAGCAGCGGGGCTCTCTGTCAAGTAATCCCTCACAATCAAATTACAACGTTAACCCTCCCGGGTCAGCGCTTTATGAAAGCATTAATAGACATATGCGATGATATGGCAGCACCTGATGCTGCAGCATTGTGTTTTGGTCTATTATGGTTTCAAATCGATTTTAATAGATTAAAAGCGAATAATAAATAAACGTTTTAACCCTTGTTTATCTCACACAGAAAATACTTTATTTCACAGAACATAATTGTATGTTTCAGTAGCGAGGGGGTTAAATGCAGTTTAGCAGTGTTGGATGTCCAATAGAATAACAGGGATGACAACTCTTTACAAAAATGAAACGTAGATTGATGGTGCCATATAAATACAATTCTAATTAAAATGACCAGCGCTAAAGGCACCCTGACGTCGTGTTTATTAATAAGACCTTGTGATGATATAATTGCTAGAAATGTAAACTTTGTCAGACGATTGTGAACAGTAATGTCAGCTAAGCTGGTAAAGTGTGACTGGAAAGACAAGCAAGGAGCTCGCACGTCTACAGGGATGCCGGGGTGCCGTCATTGGTGATATGACATCCTTCTATCCCATTTACCAGCATACAGTTGGAAAAATAGATTTGGCTTCCTTTCGAGCTGCCTTGTAGTTGTCAGAGTGCAGCCTGTGTTCCCGGGTTATGTGCACGGCATGGCAAGGAGCTGGCTCCGGAATCAGCACTGGTCACTGCAGGCTCGCCGTGATAGAAGGACACACACGAACGCCGCGTTCTTTGCAGGCATGCAACCTCTATGCGGATCTTGTCCTCTCGCGATGAGCCCTCCCTGCTTGTTCCATTCCTCAGCCAGTCACTGTCTAGCTGATCGCACTGAGCAATGTATGAAAGGCAGTGTGGGGAGCTTCACGATTGCTAATCCCTCTCCCTTGCCCCTCCTCGCCTGCCCCCACCAACAAGACCCCTGGGCCAGTAATCAATCCGCGAAGGGGAAAGGGTTGCGAAGGGCAATGAAATCCATTAAAAGGCCAGCGTGCCCTGGGCAAAAAATGATTTTCTTTAGAATGTGTTCTCCATTCACAATCGCAGCAGGCGGAGGACGCGGGAAGAGATGTGGGTGGCTGGATGGATGGAGCGGTCTGATCGCTGTCATCTGCTGCCAGGTACCTGCGCCCTGTCCATGGTGCTGGAACTCATCACAGGTGGGTGATTGAGCAGAGCAGCGCAGGACCAGAATCGTTCTACACAAGTTCACAACAGTCCGTTCCCACCTATGTAATCTCATCTCACTCCCATCTGCTGGTGGGCTTCAGGTCCCTGTCCATGGGGCTGAAATTCAACCTATGAGGAACCGTCCATTCCCACCTATATAATCTTGTCCCACTCCCATCTTCTCTTCTGCATCAGGTCCCTGTCCATGGGGCTGGATTTTAGCCTACAGGGAAACGTATTCAATCTCTCCTGACCCTAAGTCTGTGGTGCTGAAACTCATATGGCCAATAGTATATTCCACCTATTTAATCTTTTTTCACTTTTCTGAATCCCAGTTCACGGGGCTCAAACTCATAGGCAACCATCCATTTCACCTATTCAATCCCTCTCACTCCCATCTGCTGTTCGGTATCAGCTCCCTGTCCATGGGGCTGAAACGTTATGAGGAACCATCCATTCCACCTATTCAGTCTCTTTCCTATGTTCTCACTCCCAGTCCATGAAATTCAACCTATAGGGATCCATCCATTCCACCTATTCAATCTCTTTCCTATCTTCTCACTGCTAGTCGATGGGGCTGAAACTCAACCTATAGGGAACCATCCATTCCACCTATCCAACCTCTTTCCACTCTTCCCACTCCCAGTCCATGGGGCTGAAATTAAACTATAGGGCACCATCTATTCCACCTATTCAATCTATTTCCTATCTTTTCACTTCCAGCCCATGAGTCTGAAACTCAACATTTAGGAAACCATCCATTCGATCTCTTTCCACTTTCCCCACTTCCAGTCCATGGCTGAAATTCAACCTACAGGAAACCATCCATTCCACCTATTCAGTCGCTTCTCACTCCCCATCTGCTGCCCGGCATCAGGTCCCTGACCATAATGTTGAAGGTCATCCAAGAAGGGTGACGGAGAACTGAGCATCCCCGAGACGAAGATCGTTCTACATAGCCGTCCATACCCATCTTCTCAATCCCAGTCAACTGCTATCAGTAATTAGCGTGTACTCCCCTCAAGCAATGAATGTGTTAACACTCCAGCGATCAACATCCACTGCACTGCAATCATTGCTCATCCCCTACCAGACGCTTTTTACAATTGTACTCCAACTTTACAAAAGCCCTCACGTCTAATATACGTGCCATTGTAAAGCTTCACATAGCAGTTCCTATTGTTAGATCGCTCCCTATCCTGCATGAAGTCAACGGTTCTAAGCCAAAGCTTGTTTCTGTAGAACAGTAAGCACTATTGTATAATCACATGTTGGGTGAGATAATGCTAGCTGTGTCACCCCGTTGAGGCTTAGGTCACAAAAGAAGCTACAGTGTGATATATATATAGAACATATTGCCTTGTGTTCTCCTACCTATATTTAAGCAGAATCAACGCGGCTACGCCATTAGAGGAAATGTAATTGCTAAACTACTGGAAGTCATGCAAACAATGTGATCTTGTTCCTGAGTTGTGGTGTATTATAAATTCTGGAAGTACTATAGTGGTCTGCAATGAAACAAAACGCTGCCGACATTTAATCCAGTCAAGAGTGCAGGTTTTATTTCCCAGCCTTATTAAAGGGTAAAGTTGGTATTGGAGGGGCACTTGAACAACTAGAAAACTGGGAGTTGTAAATTTGCCTTACATGTCAGGCCATCAAACACTGTACAGTCTCCAGGGGAAGAATTGGTTTGAAAGCAACTCTACTGCCTGATGTCATTCTAATCGTTATTTGCTTTCTGCAAATTGATGTTATTTCCCCAAACAGTCGTCTTTTATTAGCCATGCCTCCTGTTACTTTAGTTACAACAGAACACATTAGCACTTTGCACAAGTCGAGCTTCATTAATTTACCCTTTCTCTGCTCTGTGACAACAGGAGGTGGTTTGCCACTTTGGTTTTCTTATTTGTATCTATTCAGGGACACTGCAATCATTCGTGTGGTTTTAATGCTGATGTGCCTAATGCAAATCATGTAATAAGAGTGTATGGGTCGCAAAGGTCTATCACATGTACAATCACAAATTGTTAGGACTGCACATTATAAGCATGTCAGGTATTTTACTATATTCCCAAGTTAATCAGGCTGTATTGGTGGCAATGCTGTTTGTGATTTGATCATATTCTACAATCTTTTAGACTAGATCTGGATAGTCTGAGGCTCTCCAGCAATTTCAGGGCTATTGGTTCCAGCATGCCTTTCCTGCTGTGTATTATTACTATATTATTATAATATGCAGCATTTGAGTTGAGCTTTGCAAGCTGCAGTCACTTTATCCCTTTCTCATTTATTGATGATGCACTTCTCCACCTAGTGGCAGAAGCTAGGCACAGCAAACAGTTGAAAAGTGCTCTGCACCTAGCAGTATAGCTGAACAGAAGAACCAGGGCAGCTCTTTTTTTTTTAATCAATTGCTTTTTATTGAGCTTTACACATAACAAAAATCAAAAAGAGAATAAAAAAAAATATCCCCGGGAATAATCATCTCAGACAGACTATGTGCCCACAGCAATCGATCAGTTGTTCCTTTTCCCAGAGAATACAGAAGAGAATGGTGTTAAGGAAAACATTTCTATTGCAGACACTCTTGTAAAGGATGCCCACCTATGTGTGCATTGTTGCTGTTTATAGTGTTTGTTTATTTATTTCTTATTTATTTTGTTTTGTATTTATTGTTATTGTTTATTTATTTCTTTATTTTGTATCCGTGCTGAAAGACATTCCATGCATTTAATGAAGCCTTTTTTAAGCTTGATTGCCAACTCCTGATTAAAAAGGTCTAAAAAAAACACAATATTGTAGAATGTTAATTAGGGAGTTATCTAATTGAATCTAGGGACATGCAAGGGAAATATTTCTCACTGGAGCTAATTGGACCATGTTTTATACATTTTTGCTTACGTATAGAT